CCCCAGAGCCGACGGGAGCTGCACGGCTCTGCCTGCTCCTGCCTGCAGCTGGGCGGGAGGGAAGGGCTAATTCCCGCTCCCAGCTGCCTGCTGGCGTTTGCCCCTTTTCCAGCTGTAGCTGCACACAGGTTCAGACAGCGTGTCGGATTCCTGTGCCGGTAATGCCTTGTCCGAGCTCCCCAAACCGAGCACGGACCTGCCTTGGCTGCTCCTGCGCCCCCCCAGGTGATGGGTCAGGAGGCTGTGGCGGTGCTGGGTGAAGCTGGAGGCTGGGGCTCGGCCCCACCACAGTAACAGGCAGGTCTCCAGGGCAGTGGCTGCAGGTCCCAGGGCTGGTGGGAGAGCCAGTGTTGAGGGGTGAATAGCTCTCCTTTGTCTCTGCTGTTAGGAGGTAGGAATGTGGTTATAGCCAGGCTGAACCCTGCAGGCATCCTCTGAACACTCCCCCAGGTCTTTTTTGTTGTCCCTTTGTCCCCACCCCACCGAAGGTCCTGGGGAAGGGGGGGGAAGGAGCAATAGCTGAGCACAAGTAGGTCTGCTCCCCTCATCCCGCCTTTCCCTCCAGTAAAACCACGATGTTCCCCCTGGTCTGTCCCACAGCCACAGGCACAAAGGCTGCTGCTGCGGCGCGTGGCACCAAGGGGCTGCAGGGGCTGCGCTGCTGCCCCGGGACAGCACAGCACCGCCCGGAGCAACCTTCTCCCACCGGAGCAATCTTCTCCCACCGGAGCAAACCTTCTCCCACCGGAGCAAGCCTTCTCCCACCAGAGCAATCTTCTCCCACTGGAGCAAACCTTCTCCCACCGGAGCAAACCTTCTCCCACCAGAGCAATTACCTTCTCCCAGGTGTGCTGCCATTCGTGGGGTGAGGAGGAGGGAGGCCACGCAGGGCCCGGTCTTGTCCCACCTTGACCCTCCTAACGCCAGCAGCCCAAAATAGAGAGGCCATGTGGCTGGATGGGACATTGCTAGATTTCAACTTCCCTTTCCAGGGATGAAGTTTCATGCAAAGGGAAATGGAAGAACACTAAGTTCAGAATCTTATCTCCGTTTTTATTTTTAGACAGGCATTCATCAGGAAGAAATGACATACTTTGGGGCAGCCTGGGGTGCAAGAGAGTAATTAAAGGCAATAGTCTTACCTTCAGCATCACTCTCCCTCAGTGAATTGGCTGTTCCCAGGGCAGGATCATGTTTGTCTGCCATCATTAAGCCCAATTTTTTTGTTGTTGCCTTTGGCTTAATTTATCATGCACGGTAGAAAGATACAAATAATTTATTTGTGAGTTAAAATGTAATGATAGCTTTGCATTTGGCAAAGTGGGGACAAAGCATCGGTGCGATCTCTCCTTGGCACTTGGGGTGGATCTGAAGGCGGCGATTAAAATCCAGCTGCAAGGGGAAGGCTGCAGCCGCCGTTTCTGTGGGAGGACTTCCACCGGGACCGCGTCGCTCAAGCGCAGCCGTGTCGTTGGGAGGCCTGGCAGGCAGCAAGAGCCCGCGCCTCCCAGGCACCAAGGGCAAGAGCTCTGCCCCGTGAGCGGCGGTGGGGCTGCACACCACATCCTACTGCTGCTGGCTTTTGGGCACCTTCCAGGTCAGGCTCCGATTCGTGACCATGTCACACTGCTGGAGCCTGTCAGCTCCGCCCGCCCCCGGCATCCCCCC